GGTGAAGATTTATTTGGAGATTAGGTAAATAATTAATTTAATTATTAATTAATTGCTATTTTTAGCCAATTTTTTGTTTGTTTTTCCACAATAAAATAATAAATGCATTCATTGATGGTTTGAAAATAATTACTATTGTTTTGCTCCAAAATTGACCTCAGTTATTTCCACTCTGTTTTTGCCAAAAGTACATAAAGGACTTCTACAACAAGACGGTGGTGAGTCGAAATGGAACTGGACTCAGTGGGGAGACTTTGACCCTCATGTACTCTCTGACCGTTTCTGTCTTTGCAATTGGAGGGCTGCTGGGTTCTCTGGTTGTGGGCATGCTGGTCACTCGTTTTGGCAGGTAAAGTGTGTTTAAGGAGCATTTACTTTCAAAACAGGTCATGTTGAAAACTGTTTAAATGTGTATTCATATTTCTACCTTTTTTTTTTCCTGGATAGAGTTACAGAAACTGTAGAATCTAAAAGCATTCAGTTAATATGTTTTTTAAAATTTCAAAAATTGAAATTGTGTGACAGGGAGAAAGTCTTAAAAAGTTACTATGCTTGCATAATAAATAAGATTTTAAAAAAAACACCCCACACAAATCCTTTTTGCCCTCTAGGGTACATTTCTTATACATTTGCAGCTTTGTCAAGTTCTGTCCGAAATTCTAAAATTGTGCCAATCTACAAAAACAGGAAAGCTAGTAAATACGGTAATATAAATGAACAAACTTAAAGTTTAGAGACATGATGCTTCCATTGTTTAGAAAAAATATATTTTTCTATTATTTTGCAGATCTTCAGTCAACATTTAAATGCAGAAATGATTTAAATCAGTGTCAAAGCTCATGACCATTCTACAAGTTGCATGAGTGTTTATTGGGACTTTTAACAGAATATCAATGAAATATTTTAGGGGATAAGATCACATTTCAGTACAGTTGTTGCTGTCTAATAAACCATCAGCTCATACATAGCATGTATTCTGTCTAACCTGAATGATTGTCTACACTTTCAGGAAGGGCACAGTGGTAAACACATCTGTCCTGGTGTTTGTCGCTGGCTCACTCATGGGGTTCAGTAGGATTTGTGGCTCTCCTGAGATGGTTATCTTGGGTCGCTTCATTACAGGAATTCACTCAGGTATGCTCCCCACACAACTTTAGGCCTTGTCACACTATAATGTTTTAGACAACTTGTGCTGCCTTGGAAAAATGTCAGACAAAAACTCTACGTCAGGGTTATTCAACTACATCTGCCATGGTGGTCAAAGCCAACAGCTCGGGGGGTCAAACAGAATAAATGTTATTATCTTTCAATGAATCAAAACATTTTACATTTACAAATTGCTTAAAATGCATTTTTACATTAAATTAAGTTTAAAAAGCTTTTCAAATAAATTCATTGGTGGGCCAGACAGAGGTCACCTGTAGGCCAGATGTGGCCCATGAGTCGTCAGTTGAATAGTCCTGCCCTATGTTGAAGATGGAACAAAAAAATCTACTGGAAGCCTCTTTTTGTGAGGATGTGTTGTATGTTGTCTTGTATTACATCTCCCTCTTGTGTTCTCTCTGTCATTACTCTCATCTCACCTCAGTCTGTCAGTTTCTCATGTAATCATGCTCACCTGTCACTCTTAATCAGGATTTTCCTCTGCTGTTGTTCATCTCCTCATTTCCTGTGTTTGTAGATATTCTGGTTCAGAGCTCCACATTCTTGCAAGTTCATTGTTTGGTCTTACCTTCTCTTGGGTGTTCCTCATTGTTTCTCCCATGTCTCCTGAGTTTTTGTTTTTTGCTGCCACGTCAGCTTTTTGTTTTATTTAATGAATCAGTTTTATTGAAGTTCCTCACCTCCGTCTGGATTTGGGTTCATTCCTTCACCTCATCCCAACACTTTTGGATGTATACATACTATAATGCTAACAAGCTGATCAAATAATTTATGAGTAATTTACAAAGATACATAAAGTACTTAATATAAATAACTGAGTAAAAGTAAAAATACCATAACAGAAAATGACATTGGTTAAAAGTCATAAAACTGCTCACATTATTTGGAAAGTCAAAAAAAAGTACTTTTACCCACATTCTAAGAAGTGAAGTGTTGAATTTACTTTACTGAGATGAGTAAACTGAGCAATTTACAAATTTTATTTTATGGAAATGGTGTAAACTGTTTTGCATTTACTTAACTCTGTATAGTGGAACCAGTTGACACAACTTGGTTAAGCAAATTTAACGCTTTATTTTTTAGAGTGCATAAACAACTTTCATGTGTTTGGTCATATACAGTATTAATTGTAAAAAAAATAAAGTAAAAAAGTAAAAGCATAATTTTCACGATTTGTATGTTAAAAAATAAAAGTCAAAGTTACGATTTAAAAAAACTTCTTGGTGAAATTGCAAATGCTCAACAAACTTAAATGATTTAATAAAGTAAATGTACTTAATTACTATACATCTCTGGTATTTTATGTTAATAAGTCAGCATAAGTTGTCTAAAACGCTGTTATGTGACAGGAGCTTGTTTTTCTGCATCATTGTGAGACAAGGCAGGGCTTATTTTGACAAAATGAACAACTAACCTATTTTAAATTTATTTTTAAAAGACAACACAAGATGGTACGAATAAAACATGAAAAATTACCATTAAAAACTAAAACCAACTTTATAAATGCCCTCTTCTGAAGGATGTAAGAACTTTTCAAAACTATTAAAGAAAGCAACTTGTAAAAAAACTTTTTATTTACAAATAGGTCAAACTAATTTCTACACTCGTGTCCCTGCAGGTATCTCTTTAAGTGTGGTACCGATGTACCTCGGTGAAATAGCACCAAAAAACCTGAGAGGATTCCTGGGTTTAGTTCCGAGTATCTTTATTGGCACAGGAGTCTTTACTGCTCAGATCCTCGGTCTCCAAGAGCTCCTGGGAAAGGTAAATAAATATATCTTGTCTGTAAAATCAGATTTTGGAAAGTTGCACATTTCAGGGAGATTTAAGTCATAAACATGAAACATTCCCAAATTTATTGCTTTATGCTTCTAAAGTAAACAGTGATAAATCTGTTTTATTAAAACAGAGCTTGTGATCAAAAAGAAAAAACGTAAGTAGGTCCTCTGGACAGGTTCTTCTTTAATGAAACATAATCAAAAGATCCAGTCCCTCAGAACAAACCAAGTAATGTTGTGTATGCTGTTAAGTGCCAGGAGGACTGTGACCTGTGTTATACATTGATTGATTGATTGATTGATTGATTGATTGATTGATTGATTGATTGATTGATTGATTGATTGATTGACTGACTGATTGATTGATTGATGGTGCCTTTATTGTCATTGTACGGAGCACAATGAAATTACATTTAAGAACACCTATTCAAGAAGACACACGCAACAAAAACATCAGGGAAACAAAACAGCCACTGCTCAAAAGAATGACCCAGCACAGAAGAAAAACATCATCAGGCAAGGACTCTGCATTTTACACTCATTTACAAGCCAGCGGTCACTCTTTCAGTTATATATTGCCAAATGCAAATGTACGCACCTTACTACGTATCTTTTTTTATGTAAACTACCTCAAACTCGATCTTGATCTGGATTCTACCTCACTCTATTTCTACTTTGTTATTTTTTATTACTATATTTTTTACGTTTTGTTTTTATATGCCAAACACTTTACTTTGTTTAATTTAGTATTTTGAACTTTATGTTGCTGTATAATTTGTCAAGCTGTTTATGTTGTGTGCTGATATGAATAGTAATTTTGTTCTACAATGCATCCCTGATGTTGTGTTTGAATGACAATAAAGATAATCTGAATCTGAAGGTGTTCTCATCCTTGATAGAGAGGAACGCTGGTTTGAGAGAGGTGTAAAGGAAGCCATCTTTGTGAAGAAATACCGTCCACCATTAAACAGAGGTGGAGGCCTTTGTGTCCAGTTGTCCTCCTACAATGCTGTTATTGCAAGTATGACTCAGCCCCCTGTGAGCAAAAGGTCCCCAATGATACCCAACACAAAAAAGGAAAGAGAGACAAAAACAAGGGGATGTCGAGCCCCGCTTGCACTCACTACATACACATAACATGACACCAAATAACCACAGCTGAAGCATCCAAACAATAAGTCAGGTGACGGGGCACATGACCCTCTATGAACAGAAGAGCTAATCAAGCCTATTGTTAAGCGATGGCCCTCTTTTGCATGTGACCAACCTGTTTGTCCACCATGTGGAGGCAGGGCTTATAAGGCTGAGTTCACCTGAAACTCCTCAGACTGAAGAAGTCTCTTGGAGGAGAGACAAAGTTTAATCAATGAAGAACCTGTCCAGAGGATCTACTTAATTTTTTTTTCTTTTTGATTTTTCTACCTGGATTGCTGAGATGCATCAGAGCTTGTGATCAACATTCAGGATTGTGGTTGATCGTACACTGACTTCAGAAAGTAATCAGACCCCTTTACGTTTAGCAGCTTTGTCAAATTAATTTAAATTAAGTTGTGCTGCAACTATTACAGGAGGAATACTGGCCTATATTTCTCTCAGTGGTGGTGGTACCTACTTTCATCCAGTTGCTGTTTTTGCCATGGTTTCCAGAGAGCCCCAGGTACTTGCTGATTGAGAAGAATAACGTCCACGCCACAATCACAGGTGGGTGTCGTGGTACTGCTACTCCAAATCAAGAAGAAGTTTTTAACCATGGTTAAATCTGCATTAATACGTTGCACCACAGGATGAATGGAATTACATGTTTTGATTTTTATTGAAGCTGAAAGACATCAACTTGTGTCGACTTTTCTCCCTGTGATGTGATGGAGTATATTTTGTCCCTTCTCCTCAGCCCTGAAGCAGTACAGAGCCAAGTGTAACATCCAGGCCGAAATAGAGGAGATGCAGGAGGAGCAACGCTCCCTGTGTTCCGTAGAAACACTGTCAGTGTGGAACCTGCTGCTGGATGATACAGTCCGCTGGCAGGTGCTGAGCGTCGTGGTCATCAACATTGGCATGCAGCTGTCTGGTATTGATGCTGTAAGTATTCTTAACAATACACTGAACTAAATATTTCTAAGAATTTTAGCTTTTACTTGGGTTTTTATGTGTCAAAAACATGCTGCATTTGAAATTGCACAGATGTTTCCCTTTTTCCCGCTTCTTGTCATCATGGCACTTTATGGTCCCGACTGCTGCAGTACTTGGTAAATGGTAAATAGACTGTTGTTATATAGCACCTTTCTATCCAACCAGGATACTCAAAGTGCTTTTTATAATCTGTGTCCTCATTGACTCATTCACACACATATTCACACAGCACTCTGTCTCTCTACAAACCTAATCTAGATAAATCATTCTATGGAGACTATGTGATTTACTGATGATGAGACACACATCAGAGGCAGCAGGAGTTCAACGTCTTGCCCAGAGACATTTTGACAGTGGTGTAATCCAACCTCCAACTCTCTCATTGGAAGACGACTACCCTAACCACTCAGCCACAGCTGCCCCAGTGACACAGGCCTCATTCTAGCAGTGCCTCTAATCTAGATAAGAGTTTTAATCCTTTTTTGAGAGCAAATCTGCTCCTGTTCCTAACAACCTTCCGAATCCTTACAAAAGTTGTGATGTTTTCTGCTACTTATTGAATTATTTAAAGTCAAATATTTCAATTCAATATATTTCATCTGAGTTAAAAATCCAAATTAAAAAAATACAATTTAAATAAATTATTATCAATTCTAGTTTTGTCTTGGTTCAAAAACATTAAGCCCAAAATACTTATATATTCTGCACAATATCCATCCATCCATCCATCCATCCATCCATCCATCCATCCATCCATCCATCCATCCATCCATCCATCCATCCAAGATGGAAACCCAAACATCCCTCTCCCAGCAACACACTCCAGCTGCTCTTGGGGAATTCCAACATTTTCCAGACCAGAAGAGATGTTTAATCCCTCCAATTTGCCCTGAGGATCTGCCTGGGAAACCTCCAGAGGGTGGTTCTCAAGTGGCTTCCTGATTACATGCCTGAACCAACACTGCATCTTTTGATGCAGAAGAGCAGCCGTTCTAACTCGGGCTCCCCCAGTACAACATTGGTACTCAATCATTCTGACATTGGACCCAGCCAGCCTACAAAGTTCATTGCAACCGTTGAAATCCTGGATCTTGCTCTTTCAGCCTTGCATATTTCAAGAGGCTAGAGTTGGAACACATAAATGGAGAACTTTGCGTTCTTATTAACCATGACAGACTGAGGCATTGCACTCATGACCACAGATGAAGGCCTGATCTGTATCAATACCAAGATGAGTATCTGCACTGAATCCATAGCAGGATGGGCTTGATTCCTCTGTTTACACTTTATTTGCTGTACTGACTCATTTTTCACAAATAAATTGAAAAAAGTAGTTTGGAGTTTCTCATTAGTCCTCCACATCATGCCCATGTGCTATGCAAGTTATTTTGAGTTGTTATATTTATATTTTTGCTACATTGTTGCTTTTTTGTTTTCATTTTGCACCAGTAATTTTCTTAAACAATTCTGTGTAGTAGAAATCTTTTTTTTATCACAATCAACTAACTAAAGACAAAATCACATATTTAGTCAATGAACATGACAAGTGTTGGTTTCAGAATACACTAGCCCTGTATTGACTTGGTATTAGATTGATACCAAAATTCCTAGTATCACCCATTCTGTCCCAGGCTCCACCCTATCCTTATTTATAAAAAAAAAATACTTACTGTAGATCAGAGGTTCTCAAACTGGGGTCCCAGGACCTCCAGGGGTCCGCAAACAGTGTCTTGGGCATCCTCAAAAAATTTAAATAAATTGTTAATTTGGTTTTAATTTTAAAAAATGCATACAGGGAATAATGAACTAGTAAAACAAACAAACTAAAGCAAACAAAAAATATATTACATGGCATTTAGGGGTTAAAATAACAGTAAATTATTTTTGAATTAACTGCATGGGGTTTATGAGGGGGTCCCTGGAATTTTTTCACCATTGTAAGGGGTCTCTAGACCCAAAAAGTTTGAAAACCCCTGCTGTAGATACATGAACTGCTCTGCTTAAGGCAGAAACTCACATAAAACTAAAACCATGACTAATAACAGTCATGGTCTTAGACTCAAAAAAGTCTGGAGACCAGTAATTGTACCATCCAGCAGGTTCCTGAGCTTTGATGAACAGGACTGAGACTGCAGACTTTTGAGTAATCTTTATGTTCTTATTTGCTCAACAGATCTGGTTTTATACAAATGACATATTTGAGAATGCGGGCATCCCAGCTCCAGAGATCCAGTACACCACAGCTGGAACAGGAGTTATAGAGATCATTGCTGGACTAATTGGGGTAACATATGATGAGACACTTGCTGATATTCTGTTTCACTGTTGGTTTTATATTTTTTAGAATGGATTGTTGAGTCCAGATTTGCATATGAACATAAAATAGGAATGCTTTATTTGCAACTGTAATTATCATCTACAGTATTAATTTATTGGAAATAGTTCTTAGTTGTTAAATGGTAAATGTTTAACTCACTCTAGGTCCAGGTCTGTGCTGTTTATCCTTGACAATGATAGAAAGGTTAAAAGAAAAATAAAAAAACTTGGTTTTTAGAAGTTGAGTTGGTCTTTATTTATTAGCTAAACTAATCTTGCTATGGTTTGTGTTTTTCATTTTCCATTGCACAGAGCGTGTTCAGTTATCAATGTCTAACATGACTTCTTTACCTCTTTCAGTGTTTCACCATAGAGAAGCTTGGCAGGAGGCATCTCATGATTGGGGGGTTTACAATGATGGGCATCTGCAGCGCCGGAATCACATTAGCACTAATTTTACAGGTGTGTGTATGTGTGCGGGTGGGTATTCCCTACTATGTGGGGACTTGGCGTACACACCTACTTGTGGGGACCAAGTGGGACCCTAAGCCTAGTCCTTACAGAAGAAATGCCATTAACGGGTTAGGGGTAGGGTTTAGGACCAAGTTGTGAATTGAGTTTAGGTTAGATTTAGGGTCAGGTATGTACCTGTGAGGTTAGGTGTAAGGGGTCAGAGTGAGGCTGTAGAAATGAATGAAAGACAATGCAATGTCCCCATAAAGATTTTAGAACTGTACTTGTACGCACAACATACAGAGGACTACTTTCACAGTATTTACCAACAAAGTGAAGTATATTTTGGAAAGTGAAGACCTTTTTCTAATGTCTTTTTTCTCCTTTTTAAAAAACATTTTATCTTTGCACCTATAAAAGTATAAAATGTACAAATGAGATATAGAAGATGTGTGTTTCTGCATACAGGATCAAAATAACTTTAATTATACATAATGAACAGGTGACCTCTTGTGTTTGTAAGAAAAACTGCAAGTAAATTATTAAAAGGTTTTATTAATGTGATGGTGGAACTAAACATGTTTATATTTGCACATATAGATTTTGTAGCTTACTATCAGTTTTTATACTTTATTTTCCCCACAGACGCAGTTAGTATTCATGCGTTATGTCAGTGTTTGCTGTGTGGTGGGCATCATTGCTGGCTTCTGTATTGGTCCAGGTGAGTTACTCAACTGCATGTCAAATAGCTTCATTTGTTAAAAAAATAAACAAATTTCAAATTTATACTGTATTTCAGCTTTGATGCTCAGACCCCATCTGCTTATATTTTAAATAATGTGATCTGACAGAACTGTTAAATAAAACAATTGTACAAGTTCATTTTTATTACATTTAGCTTTAAAGCTAAAGAGAAAAATGTTGAAAATTTGTTAGAAAAATGCAATTGTGAGCTGAGAGCATAAAAATATTAGATCTTCTCTGCTAATGCAATAATTTTATTGCTATAAATTGATTTGGTGTAATTAAATTAGATCATTGAAGTCAGAAGAAACAAGACATATTGGCAACTTATTCATTTCATAAACTGGGCCTGAAGAGAATATGGAAGACAGCCTGGCACCTCTTCCTCATGCTGGTCACACACAGCTGTGGGATGACTTCCTATCCTTCAACCAGCAGTTGTCACAAGTCAGCCAGAGTGGTTGTGTTGGTCAGTCTGGAACAAACAGCATGCCCACGATGAACTCACAGGTGTGCAATGAGGTGGAGGTCAAGACTATTGCAGGCAGGCCATTCTATCCTCTCAACTCCCAAAATCTGGAGATATATGTCTTATATGAAGAATAGAGTTTATTCTCAGACTATAGAGATATAGTATTGTTCCTGATTGTATGCGGTTGAGTTTAGTGCCCTCAGGATTCCATCTCTGCTATTTGCAGATGATGTGGTTCTGTTGGCATCATTGTGGTGTGATTTTCAGCTTTCACTGGATTGGTTTGAAACCAATTGTGAAGCGGCTGATGTGAGGATCAGCACCTCCAAATCTGAGGCCACGGTCCTGGATTAGACGTCAACACTCAATCCACTAGAGGGAGCTGACGGACTGTAGACAGGGACAGGAACTGATAAATGACCCAAATCCTAGGTTTGGGAAAGCTCTCATCTCCCTGACAAGGAAACCTTTAAGTACACTAGTTGGAGTCTTAACTGGGCACAACCTGCACCACAAAATGGTGATGGGGCTCCATAACAATGTTATGTATGATGCCTGTGGCATTGAATTAGAGACCTCTTTGCACTAAGCAAAGCAGAATTCTTGGGGACCCCTTTAAGGAGGTTCCCAAGAATTTGCAAATGTTTGAATAAAGACCAGAGTATTTTTGGGGAGAGCAATAGGCCCACTTACAAGACCCCAAATCAAATGGGTTCTTTATCCATCCCCACTCACCAAATCAAAATCATGGCAAAAATTCTGAGAAGAAAACTTAAATTAGAGTAAACATAAGGAGGGGAAATTAAACAGTATGATAATAACCATATTTTACATAAATAAATCACAGTTTTAACATTACAAATTAAACTAACACAAGTCAATTACATGCAAACAAATAAAGAATATATTTTGAAGGATTTTATATGTTTTGTTTTGTTTCCAGCGGGTGTTCCGTTCCTGATTACAGCAGAACTGTTCAAACAGTCCCATCGTCCAGCTGCTTATATCATAGGAGGCTCACTCAACTGGCTGTCTAACTTTACTGTGGGCTTCGTGTTCCCCTTCTTACAGGTGAGAGCTACACTGTCCTGCACCTCTGACACTAACGAGACCAACAGGGACTTTACAAAACTCCTGAGATAAGAGCTGATTGTTAGTAACTGATTGGTTTGGTTCAAATCATCCATCTTATTTCTTAAACTTTTTTAAATGTATTTTTTGATGTGCTTTAGTGTCAAATCCTGAAAACAGCAAAAACAGGAGTGTTAAAATTTCAGTGTTAAACTTTTGGGTGTTGATTTAACACCCCCTAGTCTTATTTTAACACTTTCTAAGTAAACTTGACACCCAGTGTTGGTATTAATTCACAGTGTTGATTTCCTCAGTGTTGTCTCAACACTGGACAGTGTTAAATAAGCTCCGCCCACAGTTAAGTTTTACATAACACAACAGTGTTGTTATACACTCACCGGCCACTTTATTAGGTACACCACGCTAGTAACGGTTTTGTGGTCATAAAGGGATGGACATGGTCAGCAACAATACTCAGGTAGGCTGTGGCGTTGCAACGATGCTCAATTGGTACCAAGGGGCCCAAAGAGTGACAAGAAAAGATTCCCCACACCATGACACCACCACCACCAGCCTGAATCGTTGATACAAGGCAGGATGGATCCATGCTTTCATGTTGTTGACGCCAAATTCTGACCCTACCATCCAAATGTCGCAGCAGAAATCGAGACTCATCAGACCAGGCAACGTTTTTCCAATCTTCTCTTGTCCAATTTCGATGAGCTTGTGCAAATTGTAGCCTCAGTTTCCTGTTCTTAGCTGAAAGGAGTGGCACCCGGTGTGGTCTTCTGCTGCTGAAGCCCATCTGCCTCAAAGTTTGACGTACTGTGTGTTCAGAGATGCTCTTCTGCCTACCTCGGTTGTAACGGGTGGTTATTTGAGTCACTGTTGCCTTTCTATCAGCTCAAACCAGTCTGCCCATTCTCCTCTGACCTCTGGCATCAACAAGGCATTTCCGCCCACAGGACTGCCGCTCACTGGATGTTTTTGCTTTTTCGGACCATTCTCTGTAAACCCTAGAGATGGTTGTGCGTGAAAATCCCAGTAGATCAGCAGTTTCTGAAATACTCAGACCAGCCCTTCTGGCACCAACAACCATGCCACGTTCAAAGGCACTCAAATCACCTTTCTTCCCCATACTGATGCTCGGTTTGAACTGCAGGAGATTGTCTTGACCATGTCTATATGCCTAAATGCACTGAGTTGCCGCCATGTGATTGGCTGATTAGAAATTAAGTGTTAACGAGCAATTGGACAGGTGTACCTAATAAAGTGGCCGGTGAGTGTATAACACCATGCAGTGTTGAAAGCAGTAAGCCCCGCCCTCTTCCACCTCATGTCAGACAGGCCAGCATTTACCCAGCATTCCTTGCTGAGAAATCTTGCAGAAATGATGGTTTTACATATTTATGACTCATAAAGAAGTCCATCAGAGTAAAAATTAGTTGTTCTGGTTAGTTTTCTTGTTCAGGTTGATCAAGTTGTTCAACTTTAAGTTTATGTTACTGGCCAAAAATCGACACCATGAGTGAAAGGTACTTCCTGGTGTGTGAAGGGTGACTTCATTAAGCTTTAATGCTAACTACTGAGCGGTGTTAATGCAGCATCACAAAGAGTTTGATATTAACTTTGGGTGTTAAATTTACACTCTCCAATATATGGTGTATTGACACCTTGTGGTGTCTGTTAACCTTTATAACACCACAATTTCCTTTGTTAGTAATAATACACTGGTGTTACTTTTAACACTTTCTGTTGACACTGTTGAAATGTTAAAATGACACCCAGTGTTTTTGAATATTTAACACTGGCAGGTGTTACTTTTAACACTTTATTTTAACACTAAAACTATTTTTATGTTAACGTGACACCAAATATTGTTGAATATTAAACACTGGTTGGTATTAAATTAACAAAAAAATGAGTGTTAAATTTTAACACTTTCATAAATGTTATTTTAACACCAGCGAGTGTGGACACATATAGACACTTTTTTGGTGTTGAAGTTAACACTGTGGGTGTTAAATTAACACTGGCATTTTTGCTGTACTAGCTGTGTTAGTATATTTTTTGTACATTTGTGCCATATACAAAATGTTGTCAGTCTGAGTTACTGAGGGTATATAACTAACTTATGTTTCAACCATTTTCTGTCTTTTCTTCTGTCTTGCCTTTACTCATATGCCACATCCAACCTTTAGATGTCTGCTGGATCGTACTGCTACTTGGTCTTTGCCACGGTTTGTTTTTCCGTGGCCATCTACGTCCATTTTGTGATCCCAGAGACCAAGAACAAAACATTCATGGAGATCAGCCGGCTGTTCTCCAAAAAGGAGGCAGTTCTGGAGACCCAGGGTCTGATCCACACGGACCAGCTGAAGCTGAAGAAGATGAATGGCTACGGAGGTTTGGAACATGCTTCACTGGAGTTTGACAGCTCCACTTCTGTGCCTTAACTGGGATTTTAAGAGAATTACGTATGTACACCAAAGAACACCTCATCCATACTAGTGGCTTCTAGCTGGGTGAAGCTGGACGTTCCACTTCAATAATCAGGTTCAAAAGATGACTTACTAAGTAGTGATACTATTTTATTTACTGCAACTTATTATTAACTTAATGTTTATGGTGCCTTTGTTTCTAAGTGTTAACACCTTTAAGTTTAGCCCAAATCCTCTAACCTTCTCAGCAGTAAACTTTGAATCTGTAAGGCGTGGTTTTATGATACCTTTAAAACAAAATTGTAAAATATTTTGTACAATACATTTGAATGTCTAAGAAACCCTGTAATCGTCACCTTTTATAACTGTTCAGTTTTCACAGTAATTCTGTTTTGTTTAAACTACACTGCAAAACATTCTAAAACATTGTAAAAACATAAAACAATATCATTTGTTTAAATGCATGGATGTCTGCACAAGTCTTTGTAAACTGTTCAAACTACCTAAATATATATTGTGGTCACAATGTTATTTGAGTGTTTAAGTGAATTGTTTTTATTTTTTTTTCTAACAGGAAACTTTATCAATGTCAGAAATCTCTCAAAAACAAGGTTTTTTCAGTCCACAGGGTGGGATTTAAAGTGCCCAGGGGATCCTGTATTTTACTGATGATTGATGCCACTGTGTTGTGGACAAGAAGTGATGACAAAGAGGAGTGGCATCATGTAAACAGCACTACAACAGCTGACAACACAGACAGTAGGGAAGAGTCGGATATTTTTCTTTAGATTATTATGAGCCCCGCACGTGAAGCGTAAGCGGGAGTCATATTGTTTTCGTGCATTCTTTTTTTTCACTGATTTTTGGTCAACCGTAGCACAAAAATGGCTGCACCAGTCAACATGAAATTTGGCAGGACTGTAGATGATTGACCTACACTGCGCCAGTCAACAGTTTTACGATAGACCCCATACTTCAGGAGTAGGCTCCTTCCAAAGAGGGGGTGTCTGGACATGCAAAAATGTTTTTATCTCAGAAACTGTTCAACATAGGAGCTTCAGATTTCTTTTGTTGTTTAGCTCTGATGAAGCTCTATCCATCAGGC